TAAAGGGGTTGGAGAAGTAGAGTAAGCGGTGAGCAGGCGTGGCACAAAAATTCTGAACAACGCGAACTGAGAGCAAGAAAAGAAGAATTCATCGCAGAGGCGATATTCAGGCTGGGCTGTAAACCGGTAGACAAAGACGGAATGTAACCATCTCAGCGAAGTCTTGGCTGAAGGAGAGTGGAATCAAACTGACAAGCACCGAGGACGAGCCAATGCTCGATGCTCAAGCTATCAATCCGACGGGTGAGAGAGTCTTGGCTGCGATAAGAAGAGTAGAGGACAGAGGCCAGCTTGAAGTGATGATGCACAGTTTCGCCCTGCTTATGATGCGGTGTTGCCTAGTCGACCAGACATCAGAATGGAGATGCAGCGATTGGAAAGAAGCTGGAATCAAATGGGAAGATGGGTACTCACAGGGTCAGTCATTCGGAGCGCAGTCGGTTCAGGCAGCCAAAGAATGCAGCATTGGCATCTGTAGGCAAAATGGACAAAATGGTACCAAAGAGTGCCAGTAAGCATAGCATTTGAGAGAAGAATTCGTATGGACATTGTCAATTTATGCATTTGCCCAAGTGAACCGCGAACGCTGAATGCTTCCAGACAGAAGCAACAGCATGAATGCTTATTTCGTTTCAGCTAACAAGAGAACCGCTCGTTGCATCTTCCCACAATCTTATGAGTAGGCCTTATGAGTAGTCTCCACTCAATTGCAGATTGCCTCACCTCCTTCCCTAAAGGCATCATCTGCCGGGCAGGAGTGGACTGCAGTTTCGACCTCACTCGGATCTCGTCAGCACCTCAGGCGGGACTCGAGCCATGGCAGTGCAGCGTGCATTCTCGACACTTGAATCACCAGGCGGGTGTGAATTCTTGCCATACCCCATTCTGTGGTGGGATAGTGGAAGAAGCAAAGCTGCATTTGCCAGAAGCGAGCTAACAAAAGATTTATTTTTCCTTTTTTTGTAGGTTGGATCTTGTGCGTTGACGACAAAGTGTACAAAGTGTGCATTTTCGTATTAGAGTAGAGTTTCGAGACTACCAGTAAATCAGTGTACTAAGATGTATTCACCCTATTTCGTCTACGGTGATGAAGGACTGGAAGTAGAATTTTCCCATAATGATATGAGTTGAGTTGAGTTGACGTTTCCATTGAATTTCACATAGCCTTGCTTTCCCAAAAGTTCTTCTCATTCAGGGT